TGCTTACTCATGCTAATGAGTGCTTAGCTTTGCAGATAGTTCATCTGAGAGCTATCAAAAAATTACATTTCAGTGTGGTTAATGGAATCAGGATTTGGACATCAAAGGATCCCTTATAGGAATTGATTATCTTGACAAATGTATTTTCCTCATTTTGAGATCTTGTGTGGCAGCTGTGTGGTGAAACTGGGGACAGTGAGGCTGAGAATTTGTGTGTCCACTAAAGGCAATTGTCTGAAAAGAGAATGAGCTGTTTAATCCAGGAACAGAGGTACACCAACCAATGTGTGACCTATAAACCAGGCTGGAGGCAAAGCAGTTTTAAGAGTTCTTTCTTCTGTAAAGGAACCTCAGTGGTTTCATAATTCTAGTAGTTCTCTCAAAGTTTGTAATTTCTCTTTGTTTTGCTGTACTTTGTTGAGTGTCTTGACAACAGTCAGCAGAGTTGTGGGTTATTAAACAGCTTCTGAAGGAGGTCATATATATTATGATCCCATTTTACAAGTTTGTGTGAGGGGAAAGAGTCACTGACATGTGATAGATCTTTGCTGTATCTGCAGCTTGCCTATGCAGCAGTATATGCACATGTACACCTCCAAGGCTCCCAAATTTCTTTCTTGCTCCTCAGCATATGGTCAGTTGAACTAGAACTTTGGGTTTACTGCCAACAACAGCACTTAGCCCATCCATAGAGTTTACACTTACATTTGTCTTGGTTTTGTCCTCTTGTCAGCATTTTCTCAGCATGGAACCCCACCTGCAACTGTGAAAAGATGGAAGTAGGGCAGCTGAGAGGCATCCTGCGCTTCAGGATAGCACATCTAGCAGTGAGGCACTGCAGACTCCAGTTCATGCCAGGCGTGGCAGCTACAGCATGCCTTCCTGAAAGCATTGACATAATTCTTCTCCTTGTTATTTCCCTGCTGGTGGTGCCTTTGTGTGTGATAGCACACTTGCTTCTCAGCCTGTTTGCTTCCCATACCTGGCTGTAGTACACTCCAAGACTAATAGTTCATGTCTTGTGCTGGTTTGCCCTTCTGAAAATTACAAAGTTGCTTTTATAGCCACAAGACATACACAGGAGTTAATTTTCTTTTGTGCCGTTTTTAACAGATTTGTGTCAGCAAATTGACACCTGTCAATTATATCCTACTCAGCAATAATATGTCCAAAAAATGTTTTGTTGCTAGTTCTATTAGAAATTATATGGCTATACAGAGTCATGTAAAGTAATGATTGCAATTTTACTAAGTGTTGTCACTAGAAATTGGAGACTGGATAAATACTTTTGGTACACTTTTCTAGTATGAAAAATAACAATTACAAGACATTGCAGTATGCATCTTGTGACAGCTCATTGCACTGCTGCCAGCTGATTACAGGAATGCACTGGCAGCAGCAGCAGGAACAGAAGGGATGAATACAGTGTGCTGTATTTATTTAGTGTCTTTCATCAGTGATGCTTTTGACAGATAGACAGACTGTCAGCACTTTGCACAACACTTTGCCTAATGGTAAAATTAGGAGAAGCTCTCAGCAAGGCCCGCTGCTGCCTGCCAGGGTGCCTTCCTGCAGAGCTGTGCTCAGCCTGGTTGTTGCAGTGTTTTATTCATTCCCAGGTACAGAGCTTTGTATTTGTCCTTGCTGATTTCACATCCCACCGCTCCAGCCTTTCTAGGCCCATCTGAACTTCAGCCTGTCCTTCAGCAGGTCCCTCCATGTCATGTCATCTGCAAACTTGACAGGAAGGTGCTTGCTTACCTCCTTCAAGTCATTGGTGCTTGCTTACCTCCTCCCCAGGTTAGACCTCTGGGGTACCTGTTAGCATGAGATATGCCATGAGCATGACAATCCAATTGGGAATTTATCAAATCTGCTTTCCCACACAGCTGTACCTAAAGACCTCCTTTGGATACAAGAATATTGTGGCAGGCAGATAGGCAGGCTGCCTTGCTAAAGGTAAACTGCATCAGTATCTCTATTCTTGTCCACAAATGAAGTTATTTTAGTTTAGAAGGCAACCAAATTGGTCAGGCATGACTTACTTTTGGTGAGACAATGTTGAGTGCTGCCAGTAGTGTGCTTTTCCTTCCTGTGCTCAGAAATGTGCTGAGGACTCACTCCATGAGGAGTTAGTACTGCTGACAACCAGCAGTAATTCCATTTTTTCAACTTTCCTAATATAGTCTGGATATTTTCTTTCTCCTACAGCAAGGGATCTCCCCTAGCCTCCTTCACCTTGCAAGGAAACGGGCCAGCTTTCTCAGCACACTCTGACTTCTATGGATCTAGTGCTCCCAATCAATCCCTGCCTTGTCTGGTTGGGATTTACCTGACAACTTACTGCTCATTGTTTATTGCCTTCTTGAACCCTGCCTGTACTCACGAAGGCCTGGGAGACCTTGGTGAGGAAGAGTGAGTCAATGCAGGCATTGAGAGCCTCAGCTCTAGCTGCAACTGCTGTTCCCATCCACAGGGTCACACTCTCCTTGTTCAGCCTTTTAGTTCTGCAAAAGCTGTTCTTGTTACCCTTGAACTCCCTTGAGAGCATCCACTCTGACTGAATATTTCTAATGCTATCTAGAGCTGCTAGGAAATTTTTCTAAACTCCTCCTGTGAAGATTGTCCGTCTGCTTCCACTGTCTGTATATTGTTTGGTAAGAGGAAGTTCTTTTTGAAATTCTGAGGGGTTTCTGAGTAATTTCTAAGTCAGATTTCAATAGATGATTGACTTGCTCTCCTTGGAGAAACCTACCTGGTGTCTATGTCTAGACTTCAGGACTGACCTTTAAAATTGTATTAATCCTTATTTCAGTATGCTTATAAAACTTACTGAAAGGAAGTTTATTGCTTTCTTTTACTTACTGGCTGTAAGGAGGTTTCACATTTTTGCTTACAGCTCAGCCATTTTATATTTACTCTTTCAGAACTCATAGGTGTTTGTCTGGACTTGAAAATTTATTTTTTCTTTTACTATTCAGTTGCAATACGTACCACAGTACTTATTGTTCTCATGCCTTAGTCTGCTGGAGTCTCATATTTTTCCTCATAAAACAGGGCATGTCTTGGTCCTCTGGTAGAATACCAATACACTTGGTTTCAGGAAGTGTTACATGTAGCATCACACCTTGGATGATTCCCTATATGTACAGATTCTTTGGAGGTTCCCTGTGTAAAAGGAATGCAATCTTGTTGGAGAAAGTGAGAAGATTTGAGGATTTTTAATACCATTAGTTATTTACTCCTCGCAATTACATTTATCCCTTCCTTATAATTACTGTATGTTATCCGACTAGAATTTAGCTCTGGGTCAATGTTTTTCTAAGCCCATATGTCTAAACTTCAAAGGATTTCTTTTTTACTTAGCTAACATCTAAACTCCTGCCATTGATCTCTATTGATTTCTTCTTTTCCTGCTTTCTGTTTTGTACATGGCATACAAGTCCTGTGAGATGTCATTACTGTTTTCTTCAGTGCCATCCTCACTACCTAAGAATTTCATTTTTTCCAACCCCCACCCCACAGGGCTATTTTCACTAGCCTTCATATTTACATTTTTAGAAATACAGGTTGGAATTTGATGAGTTTCCTACATTGCTGTTTGCATTTTCTATATCTGCAATAAGCTTTTACAGTTTGCTATTGCTTTCTTGCAGACAGCACTGAGTTCCTTGGTTGTCCTTATATGTCATCCACTAGATTTGTGCAGTTTATACACAGTTAATTTGTGCTGGGAAAGCTGTAATGGGCTTTAAGCAGTAGACGTATTGCAGTAGTTACTTTGAAATTTTAATGAGTGCCATTAAAGAATCAAAGGTACAGGAGAGCAATTCTAGAGGAAAGGAAAATAAAAGCCAAGCAGTAAGGAAACTTTAAATGGCTCTGATATACAATTTTTATGTTCAAAGAAAGTTTGGTTGACCAAACCCCATTTGGGGTGCTATGGAAACTTCTAAAATGGTTTACTTCTTTTGGTTTATACAGAAGGGTAAGACTAGATAACATGTAAAGCAGAACAAATTTATTAGACTAAATAACATGAACTGTGATAACATGAAAATATGATGAAAAAGCAGTTCATGAAAGTACAACATAAATATTCTTATTGCTGAAAATAATACAGGATGTGACCTATGAGATGGATGCACAGTTCAGTGCAGGGACACCCCCACCAAACTGCCCTGCACCGTGTAACCCAGGAGCATACAGAGCTGCTCAGCCCTGCTCAGCTGCTCAGCTCTGGGCTGGACTTCCTGAGTTCTGGTGCTACCACCAGCTCCCCACAGCAAGGGTGTGTGTTTGCCCTGTAGACAGATATCCAGCTTCTGATTCCAACTCTCCCTGCCTCTCCTTTGCCCCTGCTCAAAGGAACTTGGTATTTCCCAGCATCCTCTTGCCCTTCTGTTCTTTTTTATCCATTTTCACTTTTTCCACCACTTCCTTCCTCTTCATATTGCTCTTTGTGTCCAGACAGAAAGGAACCTGGGGGTGCTGGTCGACAGCTGGTTGGATATGAGCCAGAAATGTGCCTCAGTGGCCAAGAAGGCCAATGGCATCCTGGCCTGCATTAGGAATTGTGTGACCAGCAGGAGTAGGGAGGTTATTCTTCCCCTATACTCGGCGCTGGTTAGGTTGGATATTAGGAAAAAAAATTTCACTGAAAGAATAATAAAATACTGGAATTGTCTTCCTAGGGAGGTGGTAGAATCACCATCTCTGGATATGTTTAAAAAGAGATTGGACTTGGCACTTGGTGCTATCGTGTAATTGAGGTGTTAGGGCATAGGTTGGATTTGATGATCTTAGACGTCTCTTCCAACCTCATTATTCTGTGATTCTGTGAAATAATAAAAAAAAGGAAGACAAGCCCAACAGAAGAAAGTGTTGTGACACCTTGTGTTGTGTCTTCCTCTGTGCTGCCCTTTGTTTGCCTGCAGTTCCTTGTCTTGAAAACGTGGATTAAAGCTTCCCGTGTCTCTTTTTCTTCCCCAACAATTCAGGTCTCTCCAGGATCTCTCGAGGCAGACGGACATTCCTTACGGCACAGTGCTGGACTCGGCAGTGTACGAGCACGTGCGGGTGAAAGGGATGAACCCTTTCGAGAGGGACAGCATGTATTCCCAGATGTGGCGCATGATCAACAGGAGCAACGGCTCCGAGAACAACGTCCTGGAGTCCACTGCAGGCATTCAGAAGGTACTGCCACCCTTCCTTTATGCTTCCCATTGGAGATGTTCTGTGTTACACCAGTTTGCTTAGCTGTTGCAATCATGCCTTTAATCAATTCCTGAAAGCCCATTGCACCGACACGGAGGATTGGGACTTCTCCGGTTTGTGGCGTTGAATAGCATTTCAATATGTAAGTACCCAGATTGTTTGCTCCAAAAATTATTTACAGGTGGTTTTATAAGAGATGGCTGCATTTGTAAGGGTGCAAAATGGGAATAGGAACATTGGACTCAGAACCACAGAATTCAAGACATTGATTAACTTTTCTTGTAGTGTCCTGACACTGAAAATCCTGGCTTTCTGTTGGAGCTCTGAGTCACGTTTGTTTTGAGAGATGAAGGCAGGAATGGATGGATGATTTGACTTTAAAAATCTCACAAACACATCCTGTAGTAGGTTTGGCAGTGGAAAAAGACTTTGAGAGCTTTTTGTAGGCACATTTGTGATTGCAGTAGTTCCCTCCCAAATTCTGGCTGACAGCTGCAGCTTTTAAAGAAACACCAGTCCATGAAAGGATTCTGTTTAAGAGTCAATGTAAGTTGATGAGTGACTGTATACAAGCTTTTCCCCTGGCATTATATCTTTACATTCAGACTTCTAAATCAAATCCAAGAAATATCATATTTTGCTGACTTTATTTTAAACTTCAATATGTGACGATTTCTTACAGAAAATATCCATGAATTGTGTGTTCACATTCTTACAATCTCAATTTAGAGACTTCTGAAAATCCAGATGAACTCTGTTTTTTGTCTCCACCAAAATCCATTGGCCAGGAAAACCTGACATTTCTGATGTTCTCACTCTAGGTAGTAACAAGAGAAAAGAGTATGTTAATAAGAATGATTAAATCACTGGTGAGCTCTTGATAGCAGAAGAACTAAAAAATAAACAAAGATTACTTGGCATTTTTAAAATCCCCAATCCAGCGCCTGGATAACCAAGATCATATTTTCTCTTTTGAAGGACTAAACAGCATAAAAAAAAAAAAAATAAAAGAGGCAGGAGAGGTCCTGGGGAACTGCACTTTTGAAACCCTTTTAGATAAAGTCATAAGCTGAAGGAGCAAGAAAAAGAGGTCTGAAGATTTATTGGCTAGAGGAAATTGCTTTTTTTTCAGAGAACATATTTTAGCTCAGTTTGTAAGTGGATGATAAAGCTGGGATTTGCCTTCTGTGTGTGTATATATATATATACATATATACACATAAACCCAAAACCAAGAACCTTCCCTCCTGGTTTCCCTTTCCAAGTTTTAAAATTAGTTCAGAAGGATCAAAAAAAACAGAGTACATCAAACACAGCTGTGCTCACTAACAGCTCTTAGCTTGAAAAACCAAACAAATGTTATATCCTGCTGGCAGGTAATTCCAGATTACAGTTGTTGAATTTTCATTCTTAGAAATATAGGAGTTGCTGTCCTAAAACCTACAAAGCCAGAAACATCCAAGTTCTTAATTTCCCATGCTTTTGCTTCCCAGGAATAGGTAAACGATGATGTCAAAAAACTAAGTTGTGTCAAGCGAGCAAGCCAACCAGCCTCCAGTTTTAAAAGGCAGAGGTCTTAAGTCTGATTCTAATGAACATACACATCTACCTGTGGGTGCACAATTTCTCCCCTTCCTTCAATTTACAGGAAGAAATGACACAGAAAAAGATTATTTGCCACCTGCTGTTCACCAGAAGCATTTGGGAAGTTGTAGTTGGTCTGCACAGGAAAAAAGCTGCATGAAGAAAGTGATGTTAAAAGCTAATCTTAGGCAAGAAAAATATTTTAAAAGATATATGATAAAAGGCAGAGATTATAATCTCTGTAACACATTTCAAAAAATGAAAACATTTCAGGAAGAATTAATGGGTCCCCTTGGATTATAGTATTATATGCTTCATAATGCTCTTCAGGGTCTTTAATGAATTTAACTGGCCACATCAGAGATATTAACCTGATTATAACTCTGGGCAAGATACACCAACAGGTCTTCCTCTTTGCCTCATTTTGCATCCCCCCATTCATCAGCACTAAAGTGTGATGAGCAGGATTGTCCAGGCTCTGCGAGAGCATCACCTCAGCAAACCTTCCTGGAGTGCCAAGTGAGACAGCAGAGACTTAATGAGTGCTCCAAACAGGTACAGGGAAAGGGACTGTCACTCAGCTGAGTAATGACCATGAAAGGATTGGGATAGGAGGGACCACCATGGGAGAGAGGTACAGGGATGCAGTGGACACTCCCATCTTTAACATCATGCCTTGCTGCACCACCTCAGAGGTTAAATGAGGTTTGCAAAGAGCCTTCACAGAAGACACTTCCCAAAATATTTTTGTAAAATCCCAAAAGTTCTTTAGTTTTGTCTTGTTTTTATCCTGACAGCTCCAGTGGAGCTGGAACTATTTTACTGTGAGGAAAGTAGCAGTCTAATGCTAATGTATATATAAACAGGGGGAAGAGGAGAGAGGCCAACCACTGACTCACTCAGCACCTCACCCCTCTCACTCAGCAGGACTGCCTGCTTGCTGTACCAGTCTTTGTGGGGAGTGGCACCTGTGTGAGTGCAAATACAATACAGCCAAATGACAGTGATTTCACAGTCCCACTTTAAATCAGGCATTCTGCTGCTTTGACCTGCTTTTCCTGGCAGGAGGGCAGGGCAGACAAGAGAAACAAGATGGGAAGATCATGCCATTGTAAGTTTTCAGGTTTTGATATTTATTGGTCCTGTTCCTCTCATAAGTCAGGTGCATACTTATCACCATGTGTGCTCCTGTTCCATCTATAGTGAACATCTATAAATACCACAGGTCCAGCGAGAGAGCAGCTGGATAGATTTACGCTGAAGAGAGAGCAGTTTTGAATACCTCAAACAGGGGACAGCCTGAAAAGCGGAGGCACTTTAGATATTTTCTTCCACTTATTGTCTCTTCCTTTCTCAAAAGATAGCAAAAAGCTTTTGAAGGTCTGAATATAAGATAGGGAAGCACTCAGTTGTTTGTCTTCCTGCACTGTCAAATCAAAATGGATAGGGAGGTAGCTATATTTTTATATAAGCCTGGATTATTCTGGAGAATATTCACTTTTATCTTCCCTTTTTCTTTATTATTCCTAAGTGTTTCATGTGTCTCAAATTGATTTTCCTTTTTTTGCATAGGTTATGAAATATGCATCTCATTCTGTCCTAGGAATCTCTATTTTTGCGGAAGTTATTTATTCAGAGAGGATTTACAGAGGCCCAAGTCATGCCTGCTTAAACATTCATTGAGGACTCCAAGAAAAATCATTTAGGCTTAAAGATATCACATTACATACCTCTTTATGTCTTCTTAAAAAGCACATTACCCTGCTTAATCCTGTACAAGCACCACAGGCTTTCCTATCCTTGGAACTATTCCCATTTAAAATATAATGAAGCGCTTCTATTGTGCCCCTGTCTGCTCTTTCTTCCCTGGAGTATAATAGTGCCTAATGCCCTAGCCTACCTTGTTCCTCTGAACATGATACCATAGCCTACAGCATCTTCATTTTTCTCAGTAGAACAGAGTGGAAAATTCCTTTCCCAGGCAGAATCTGAATGCATTTGAAACCTCTTCTGTCTATTTAACTCTATCTGTGAAATATTTAGCTGCTAGGAAACTTGTGAATTATTGCCAGGTGAAATAATGCTTCTGGATGGTGCATTAAGAGAATTTCCTTGTAGATTCATAGTACTTCCTTTTTGAGTTGCTCACAGTATCAAAAGGAATTTGGTCTTGAGATTTGAATTTTCTTGTGATCCTAATTGCAAGTGGAAGCAAACGAGCCTGTTTGTTTTCCCTGGACACTGTGGATGGCACTTTAACCCTCCTTAAAATACTGTAATAGTAAAAATATTTATGAGTAGACCATAACAAAGCTCTGCTAATGTTATTTGTATGGGAAAGAAAGAGGTAACAACAATTTGCAATTCTATACTAGAACATATTGTTAATTACTGACCATGGATATGTTTAATTATTTTACAGCAGTAGCAACATCATGAAGACTTATCTTGATGGGCCAAAACCCCTTCTGAATTAATTAATTATTAAGATATACTAATTTGCCAAATGATATACAAATATATTTGTCTGATATACAAATTTGCCGCTGGAATTGGCATTCTTTTGGCAGATTCCCTGATTGCACTACAAAAAATCCAGTTCATGTATGGTAGTCCGCACATTTTTGTTGTGAACAAAATGGGCTACATGGAGTAGCCCAATAAAAAAAAAAAAACACTGAAGACAAAAGAGAACCAAGACAGACTTTTGGAATACTGGATGTGCACCATGATTTAGCAGTTTGGCAGTGGCTAAGAAAGGGATGGGAAGCAGACGAGGTGAGAGCATATAAAAATGCTAGGACATTTCTCCAGTATATCTCAATTCACAAGCAGGTGATCAGCTGCACTATGCAGCTGCTGGTTAGAAGGGTAATTATCAACCCAGGCACCACTTCCCTGATTCTGCCTCTGGAGCTGATGCTTCTTGGTCTGATGAGATGTTCTGTGTCTGCTCTAGGAGTAATAAGATTGACAAGTACCCTTAAGACCTCAATGTGTTCAGTCCCACAGCTGAAGGTGCAGTTGGTCTGTTTTGCGATTACTGTCTCCTACACAATCCATGATTTAGAGCTGACAGGCGCCTTGCAGTACCAAAGGCACTGACTGCCCTTGCTTTGTATTATCATGGATGGTCTAGCTCTATTTTTTTTTCCCCCCATAATTCTGTGTATCTTTACTACCATATCTGGGGCTTTAAAAAACTTACAGCAGGGATAAAAATTAGAATCCTGACCAGAAAGCTCTACAAACACAGTGTGGTGTTACTTTCAGGCATTAGCACAAGGCTAATAGATATCTGGGTTAGCTCAGAGCTCAGTGTGTTTGGGAAGTACAATAACTGGTCTGTGACAGTTAACAGAGCATGAAGCAGATTCTGTGCATAGCTTTCAAAA